ATGTAAGCTCGCCCTGACATGGAGAACATGAAGCAATTATTGTCTAAAGTTTGGCGATCATAATGCAGCCAGCAGAATGCTAAATTTGAAGTCAATAAAGTTCAATAATATATCATTCAAGAATGTATGAACAGCCGGAAAACAGAGTTTACAGTTAGAGACCATTTCATATGATATAATACTCACACCTTCAGCTACTTTAAGGACACAAAAATCAATACAGACAATTTGGGGTACTAAAAAGAGTAAACTACCTTCATGTTGTAGTCACATCCATAAGTATAGTGAAGAATATACTTGTCTTTAGTCGATAGATCCCATGGAGGCTGAAGAATATATGCATATTAGAGAGTTTTAGCAGAAACAAACTTCTCCTAAAATAACGTTGAAAGAAAGAAAAAAGAGGAAAGGGGCCAAGGTGGGGGAAGTAATGATGATATATTTTCCAACAAAATGACATACCTGGAGCATAAAGTCTTTTTGGAGGATATGCTTCACCCCATGTAGTGCAGATGCAATAGCGTATGCATACCTGTTACAAAATAACAACTTTCAGTCAGAACTGATTAAAACAAATAAAGTCAGGAACAAAAAACAACTCTGTTGTAGAGAGTTGCATCTTACATTTCTAGCACCCATCCAAAAGTTTTATCAGTCTCCGGATCTTCTTTCATCTTCAAAGAAACATTCATCCATGTAGGTGCAATTTTTGCCAGTATCTCCTGGATAAACCATTCAAGATACATGTTTAATTTTCTTCAAAAATAAAAAACTAAAAACACAAAACACAAAACTTTAAACTTAAAAAGAGCACAAGAAAGAAAACGAGAATATCCTAGATTCTTAATAATAGCTATTTTCATAAGTAATGGATAAACACATGGTTAGGTCTATTACAAAATACTTTTAAAGCAAACCCTACCTTTTTAATTATTACAGGAGAATTTCCGATAGGATCAACATTTGTGACAGGGCCATTTTCCAATGGATAAAACTTCCTTACAATCTTTTCATGGTCAGCAGGCTTAATGTAGAAAAAGGGGAAGGCAGCTGGAAGTCCTCCGAGTGCTAAATTAGGCAAAGGCCTCAAAAATATATGATCAGGCTCAGCCATCAATACATACCTGCAAGGTAGAATACTTTGTGCTCAATAATATTGAATTTATGAATTATAAATTCAAATGACTGCAGGATCAGAACTTACTCCTCTTTAATTGGAGCCTTTACTAGCCATTGAACAAAAGCCCACGGTCTGTTCAGCACAATATAGCCCTGAAAAGGATGTGCAGAGATGTATTAGATTGGCTCAATTTATGAGCAATATAAAAGAAAGCTAACAATTAACACATCAAATTCGACAAACAGCCCAAAAGTTCAAGATGTTTATGCAGCTTTTGAAGTGGAAAAAATTGTAAATTTCACTAATAAAATACACCTTCCAAAACAGCTATTTCAGAGTTCAGACTCTGAAAATTGGCTATATTTTAGACTGAAGATTGAGACAGAGTACTTCCTTGGCTCCAAACAGTTCCTCGAATCCATACACGAAAAACCAAAAGGTTTTGTCCACTTTCCAAAAGAGCGCATTAAGCAATTTCTTAAGAAAAAAATGTACCATACTGTGAAATCGGACCGTGTAACTAACAATAAACTAGAAAATGAACCTGTGTATACATTTAGCTACAGGTAGAAGTCACAGCGTTGAACTAGAATTATTGCTAGTTGTAAAAAGCTGAAGTGTGAATTGACATAGCACTGAAAGAGTCGAGGCTTTTAAGCTCTTAGAGCAGAGGTAAGCTTCCTCATTCAACTTGGTGTGATCAAAGGAGTTAGGAGTATAAAAGGGTGATATCGAGAATTGTATTTATGAAATTTATAAGTGGATTGTAAAATGAAAAAGCCAGAAGTCTCTACCATAATTCTGAACCTTCTAACTTTCCTCTGAGTTTTCACTTGCTCAAGCTCGTCCAAATTATATCATTTTATATCAATTAATCTCAATATTTGCTCATCTTTCTTATCATTTAATCATCTATAAACCTAGATCTCATTTGTATAGCTTTCAAAACCCAAACAATAGCCTATAAAACCCACAAAGTACAATCTTTGAATTTAGCCTGATTCTCATCCTCCAACACAACACAACTATTATAGGGATTTCCTTAAGGTAATCGGAGAAACAATTATCATAAGTGTAAATATTATAGTGAAGGAACCTCTAAATGATAAACTTGATTATGCATCAAAACACAATTGTAGATAATTTCCGGTCACATATCATCTTCTGCTTCCCTTCAAGCAATCAAGCTCATACTATATGCGATTCAAGGTTCTGTATTAGGTAAAAAAAAAACTTAATAACGGCTTGATTAGTTAAAATATATACATCCGTTGGCCAGTGACAAGATAATGCAGACATAGGAGTATATATGACTAATTGATGAGATCACTCTAGGAACATTTAATTTCCCACACTATATCATGACCCAAAAAAAAATAAAAAATAATAAAAAAGAATCAACATACAATACATAATAGCAACCAATTACAAATTGATTACAAAAGCCTCATCAGCAGAACAAGACTCTCCTAGTGTACAAAGTTCCTGAAAACAAAAGTTGGAAATCTCTGAATCCTTCCACAAAAAGGGAGGGAAAAAAATTTAGTTCAAAATTCTAATATTTACAGTGAATTCATTTGTGGTCTTCATTTTATGCTGTGACATTCTCTCCTCCTAAATTTAAAATATCCTATCATGTTCTCTGACAGTGAAACTGTATAATCTTTACCAAAATATTAACAGCATCATTTTGTGAAAAAGCTTACAAGTAAACAAAAGATGTGCAAAAGAAGCAATTTGCTTGAAGAAAGGAAGAAAAGAATTACAGAACCAACTAACCAAGACATAAATGATACAGAGTATACTACAAAAGTTAATAACAAGAGAACAAAAGCAAAAAGAAAGTACAAAACAAACACTAACCCGATCCAAACCAGCAGGAAGAGGATCAACGACGAAAGTTGGGATCTCATCCATCAAGTCATCAGATCTTCCAGAATGCAGAATTCTAGTAAATCCTCCAAAATCAGATCCAGGCAACTCCTTCTGCTTCTTATACCAGTAGTACATAATTCGACATTGCCATTTACTATAAGGCACATCCGTTGCAGTCAAAGCTACATGAAAGGGTTCTCTACCTCCTTTAGGTCTCTTCAAATGCTCAGGAATTCCAGTTATAGGGTCAATTAACATATCACTTCCTAGTTCATTCCGAACCCATGAACTTAATCTTCTATTATGGATCACCATAGTAATTAAATTATATGTTGCAAAGAAAAATCCAAGAGCCAAAAGAATCAACAATAACGGCGAAGCTCGTCCCATGTTCTTCCTCTCAATCATAATCAATTAACACACAAAGTCCTAATTCCAACAACCTCAAACACTCAAAATTCAAATAACCCACTTCATCATTCACCTTATTCAACCAATTTAACCCAAATTCAACAAAAACATCCAGCACATTCCTCAATGATCCCACTCCAAGCTATAATTCGACCGCGAAATTAACAATAAACTTAATATTGCACAACACTAAAACAATTTTTAAACTATACCCACTTCAATTCAAGCTACAATAATCCATCTGCATCAAAAATACATCACCAAAACACATTATGAAACAAAATTCAAATTATGGGTATATTACAATTCAAAACCAAACAAAATAAATAGACCAATTGAATCAAAAATTCAAAATTTGACTGAACCCCATATAAGAATTAAAAGTCTAAAAATACAATAAATTGATAAAATTAAATTAAATTAAAGAAATAATCAATGAAAGGGATTGGAGTTGAAAAATGTTATGTAACAAAAAAAACAAAATTAATGACAGAGAAACAAGAATAAGTATGTAGTAACTGTACTATGAAACAATAAAAAGATAAGATCAAATGATCTAACTAAGTGCATGAAAACGTACAAGTGAAGTAATTAAAAAAATGGAAGAAAGTGCGTTACATGTAATCACTGACCTGGATGTGCAACGGCAAATGAGAGAGAGAAAGAGATCCGAATGTGGGTTATTCGGATCCGGGTATAATGAGAAAGATGGAGAAAGTTTTGATTTTTATAAAGAAGTTGCAGTTTTATGATTATGATTATGATGATTCTAGTTTAAAGAGTGCAAGTTTCTCTCTTTTTCAGACAATGAACAAGTCTTTTATTTATACAGTATTTATTATATTTTTTTCAAATTTAATTTTGGAAGATTGTGTTGGAAGAAGTGTATTTTTCTTTGATCAATTGAGGGGGTTCGGTAGAGGGGCAATTAATCAAGTCAACTCTTTACCTTCCTGTTTTGGAAGTATTCAGATCATTAATAACTTATCCGTTTTACAAATACAATGGGGTACGAAGTATCTATACAGCCTAATGTCCCAAAAAAAAAAAAAAAAAACAGATATGGTCATTTTCATTTTTTTAATTGTTACACTAAAGGCCTCTCCAATTCAATGTTAATAATTGAACTGAACTAAACTAAATAAAGCTGAAATGAATTGTTTATGAGAGATGGAAATTGAAACTGAATTGAACTGATTAGAGCTGAACTGAAATTAAGCTGAACAAAACTGGCCCTAAGTAACCACAAAAGGAAAGTGTAATACTTTTTTTTTTTTTTTTTTAAAAAAAAAATGGGTATGTGACTATGTGTTAATCTTATTATTGTAATCTATGCTAGCTTACCTCTACATATCTAAAATTGTATGTATGTTTACAAAGATTAACCTATACATTCAAAAACTATACACAAGCTTCTGGGAGTAGAAACCAATTATGCTTCTGGGAGTAGATACTAATTATGCTTCTGGGAGTAGAAAACAATTATTAAACAATTATTAATACAAAGTATTATGATTATTATCTAATTTTTTTTTATTTTTTTTTAAAAAAAAACAACAACAACAAAAAACTAGATAGGCGTAGGCACTCAAAGTGCATCAAATAATTAGCATCATTCTCATATTATCATCAGCTCATCACAATACCTTTCAAATGAATTCAGTCATATACAACTATACAAGTACATTTTTTTGCAGGAAACCGAGCTAATGAATTAAATTAAGGACAATAAGCCCGAGAGTACATAGGGAGAGATCTCCGGAGGGCAATAATTAACCCACACTTGTTCAATCCCGAATGGCACTAGCTTACATAGGTAGAGATCTCCGGAGGGCAGTGATTAACCCACACTTGTTCAATAAAGTACTTTACATGAATAGATATAGTACAATTGATGTTCAGCATTTGCCTTTGAGCCGTAATGTGAATGCTTGCAATGCTAAAAGAACTTCCTTTATCTTTTTTTCGGCATCTGCATCAATTAAGTTACCCTCACTGTCAAACTTAGCAGGAGGTTGGAATGCATTCAAGAAAAATTCTGGCTTGTTGATGAAATGAAGATCAAGATAAACTCCAATTTGCCGTAGATGATACTGGGCTCGGCCCCCACCAAAGCCTCCTCCGGTACTTATGATTGCAGCAGCCTTATCTGCCCAAACATTCGGGGGCCTAGATGCCCAATCTATTGCATTCTTCAACGGAGCTGACAACAAAAAAGGTAAGCAAAAAATTAAGCACCAACCAAGAGAAAATTGCAGCAACATTAGGACAGAGCCTGCCAAAACAAGGTTTCAAAGATTTATGACCAATTCCAAGTAATTCGTAGTAGAACAAGGAGAAATTCAGCAAGATGGAGGGATTAGATGATTTAATCCCTTCCCTTCGTCCTTTGTAAGTTTGAGCTTCGAAAAATATTCATGGATGGGTTCTGGGATGGATAAAGATGCAGGTAGTTGACATTCACATAATTACGCAGATTGGGAAGGGTAAACCACTACATAATGACAAAACTAGAGTCTCACCTGGAAGGAATATTTTAGTCAAGGATGGAACTTAGAGCAAGATGCCACTATAAACAAAAAGTTAAAGACTTTGTTTTGGGAAGTTTTAATGCATCAGTTGGGCATCTATTATGGGACAAAAGAAGTATGAATTTATTCCTTAAAAGCTCCAAACATATAAATTTGTTCAACCATGAATGAACTGGCATGAAAGTTAATTAAATGCCAAATTACACTATCAAAGTTTCAACAACAAAACTCTGTCAAAAAGGAAAAAACACTAGAAACTTGAATAGTATAGATTGACTGGTGAGATACCAGTACCATTTGAATTTTGAAGAAATAAACAAGGTCACATTTGGATTTGCTTCTGTACCGGTTAAATAGAGAATACGGATAAGGATCAGCCTTGATGGAAAGTTATTTGGCATAATATAGGTTCGAACACTATACATGAAAGTGGATAAAACCAATATGCAATATATGAAATGAGCAAACACTGATACAATAGAGCATAGGTGAATCAACTCCATGCATTACTTAAAGTTAGAATTTGTATTGCAATTTGGGAGCTAAGAAGAATTATTGTTTGTACAATGAAGGTAATTTTACACCCCTAACAAGTCGATAGAGGCATAGAGCACTAGAGACTACAAGCAACAGGCCATAAGCTCTAGCAACAGAAGTATCAAAAATGTAGTACTTAACCTCATGATGGTACTTGACCAAGATGTGCAGATTAAAGAGTTCTCCGTGAATTTACATTTTTATGCAAGTCCAGCAGTTACTCATATGGAGAAGGATGAGAGACAGTAATGCTTAGTCTTAAAGATTTTTCAAAATGTATTCTAGCCTTCTAGGTTGTATAAGACCTCTAACTGGATCTTCCCAGCTGCAGATATAAAGGTGTTTATATTTGCACTTTGCAGAGCAGAGCAGACAATTGGATCATATACAGGACGCAAATAAGCTCTTTATCATGGTGACACCTACATAAGTTCAGGTACTTCTTCCATCCTCTATTATATACAGTATCTTTTTTAGGGAACACCAAATGACGAAGCATAATTAATTGATGCCTCCAACTTCTCATTTTTTTCTTTCCCAAGTCACGTTAAGTATTCTAGTATAGTACAATTAGGAAGATGAAATCTTAAAATAAAGTACTTGCTGACCAAGAAAAGCAAGAGAACTAGAGTTCATAAGGTAAAGGAATATAGTTTATTGTAGAACAAACATTTAAAAATCCTAAATTTAAGATTACTGTGTTGTCAAAGCATAAGCCGCCAACAAGTTAACATGCAATGCATTTTGCTAAAAAAAATCAGTAGTGGAATACTGAATTCTAACTCAAATATCTTCATCCAAACTTAAACTCCGTACTTCACTTAATAATATATTCCAAACCTTATGTCAACACCAATAATCCCCAAACTTCTTGCACAACTGAATGGACAACCTAACAAACTTGACCACTATCAAGAATAATCAAAATGTAGATTTGTAATCATTGGTCTATTATCTTAACCCATTAGTTGTTGTCGCTTGAATTGGTAAAACTGTGGTTAGGATTTGGGAAATTAAAACGGCAAAGTGAAAGTGACATATATAATCCAAAATCATTGGGAGAAAGTATGAATCACAATAGACCTTACCACCAGCTGATTAAATTATGCTGATATTCCTAAACCAATTGGGAAAAAAAAAATCCTTAAAAGACCAAGCAATATTATGCACTTGTATGGGTAGTATACTACGAGTATTATTAATAACTAATAAGAAAGCATAATAAATTACATTAACTGAGTATCAATCAACTAAAGAAATTCCAAAGCAACACTAAATGAGACCATAACATATACGAAGTACAATTTTAATCCTAAAAGCATGTTTCATGAAACTAACAATAACAAAAAAAATTCAAAATCATAAGTATAAAATAACAATCACTTTGGCTTCAGGCAGTAGTATAGACACGATTCGATCCTAGATCTTGCATTCTAGTACAACCTTCCAAGACTTTTAACCAAGGTCATTGACATTACCATAATACCATCTTAAAAATTTGCTGCAACACAAATTTCTCTAACAGTAGCATAATTTTTTCTTTTATTTTGAAAAAAAATGCAATTAAATCTAAAAAATTTGCTGCAACACAAATTTCTCTAACAGCAGCATAATTTTTATTTCTTTATTTTGAAAAAAATGCAATTAGAGTAAAAATGTCCCACACTTGCAATTTAGCAAAAAAAAAAAACAAAAAAATCAAAAACAAAATATTGCCCAACACAACCATTTTTAGCACATATTCTTACAAATTAATAAACCGAAATTAGTTGATCATCATAATTCCCTGCTTTCGTTCAAAAAAAAAAGAAAAAAAAAAGAAATTTTGCCAAACACACAATTACTTAATATATCTATACAATAGGATAATCAAGTATCAATTAATACTATAACACAAAGCAAAAAAATTGGTAAAATTGCAAAAATTGAAAAAAAAAAAAAGAGAGAGAGAGAAGATATCATACGAGCGACAGAGAAATTATACTCAGGAGAAGCGAAGAGAACACAATCAGCTTCCAGAATTTTCTGGCGAAAAGCTTCAACAACGGGTGGATAAGTACCGTCAACCTCGAGATCAGTGTTAATCATCGGCAATGGCGAAATATCGATGGGATTGATTTTCATTGTTTGTATTGATTCTGAACTTATCTTCATTGCTGAATTCATTCAAAATTTAAAATAATTTAACAGAATTAGAATTTGTGGGTTTTTGAATTTGATTGTGGAGAAGAGGAGGAGAGAGAAAGTACCTGCTCGGAGGAGACCTCTGTTGTAGGAAGCTTTGCGAAGGGACCCGCAAATGGCGGCGACATTGATTACTGGTTTTGCTGCTGCTGCTGCCGCCTCCATTATTCTGAGATTATTATCAAAATTTAGAAGGTGGGGTTGGTTTTCTCGGTAGAATGGAGAGAATAGCGAGGCACTCCGCACTCGGACCGACACCCTACGTAATCTAGACATCAGATATACGGAGTACTCGTATATACTACATCCGTTACTTCTTACTTTTATTCCCTTCATCCCATAATATAGTTTCTGTTTTCTATTTTAGAGATCCAAAATATTATTTGTCATCAAGTTTCATACGTGGCTGGTCACACCGTACGGTCAGCCACAATTTTTCTTTTATTTTTTTATTTACAAATCTTCTCTCTCCTCTCTGTGTCCTCTTTACCCACACATCATGTATACCATTAATTCTCCATCCATTTTCTCTCTCCTCCTTTCCAAATTTAGCTAGAGGTTTCTCATTAATTCTCCACCCATACTGCCACTTTCTCATTCTCCTACAAGCTAGAGGTTTTTTAGGCTAAATTCAGCCTTAAAAACTCTAGATTTAGAGTTTTCATTGACGAATTTGGCCTTTTTTTAACCATATTCAGAGTAAAATTTGAAGCAATTATTAAATTTTAAGGTATTTGTTCATTTAATTTTTTTAAAATGATTTTTATTTTTTTTTCGAGTGTTTTTAGTTTATGGCTGTTGTGGTGTGGGTGTGTTTGAGTGGGTCTGGTTGGGTAGGGATCTAGTGGTGGGTAAGGTTTGGGAGCTATCGTGGTGTAGGTCTGGTTGGGTGTGGTTTGGTTGTGGGTTCGGTGAATTGTGGTGGTGGCGTGGGGCAATTGGTACTACAGTTGGTGGTCAGGTGGTGGTGTGGTCGTTGGCGGCGTGGGGCAGTGGGTACGACAGTGAATGTGCAACATGTGGTGTAGGTTAGTCGGGGGTTACTAGATCGGTTAGGGGTTACTAGGTCGGTTAGGGGTTGCTTGGGGTTACTAGGTCGGTTAGGGGTTACTTGGGGTTACTAAGTTGGTTAGGGGTTACTGGGAGTTACTAGGTCGGTTAGGGGTTACTTTTTTTTAGGGGTTACTTTTGTTTAGGGGTTACTTTTGTCTGAGGGTTACTTTGTCATTTACTGATTTGGCACCCTACCGCATGGCAGAAACGCACTGTTTGTTTGTTTGGCTGTTTCTATATTTGGATACCATGTAAAAGCTTTATATCCTCACTTTTTAAAGTTTATTCAATATACTTCCTAAATTAACCTTGAATTTTGCATATGCTTTTTACTTTATTCACTTTTTCTCTTTAATTTTTGTCAATAATTGTACTTTTCACTTTAGTTAATGTATTTCATCCACTTTTTTCACTTGTTTCTTAAATACCGTGAAAAAACACAAGCAAGAACTATATTATGGGATAGAGGGAGTAATAACAAGGTGTATGACATATTTTCAAGCGTTAACCCCCTAACTTGAACCCCACTGAGATCATACACTAAAGTACGGTGGCGTCCAAAAGGAAAGAAGATAGAGCAAAAGAGTCGCCAACAAGTTTTTTAGGAACTTGTAAACTGTTCACAGGTGAAGGTTACACCCCTTAACGATCCAAGAGATCGTCAACTCCATAAAGTCTTGAACCAAATAAGGGTTCGGGGATGAAGGTACAAATCCAACCTAAAAGAGATTGAACCTGCCCTAATAATAGGCCTCTACTTTATTCTAATCGTATTCATGTGCGCTTTCTGACTAACATACAATCAATAGGATTAGCCTAAACCTGTTTATCTATGTTGGTTGAATTTAATGCACAAATAAAACTATTATTGGCGATCACTTGAATTATAACCATATTAAACCTAACAAGATTATTAAATATCTTATTAAGCGTGATTACAAGTACCAATTTCCTTTAAACATGCATAAAATGCGTGATCAAGCAATAAAAATAAACAATCAAGCAACATAATAATAATCAGAATAATAAAATTATAATCACAACAATCATAATTAAAAATAATCATCATAACAATAATTATAACAATTATAATTATAACAATTATAATCATAAATCATAAAAAATAAGCATAATAATGTTAAAGCATAATAATAGCAAGATCCTAGGCATGATACTAACAAGATTAATAACAAACCCTAGCATGTCACTAAACAATAAAAATCAAATCTTTGACTCTAACATGATACTAATTAACAATCATAAATATTAGGAAGAACATAAGAAGCATCGTAACAATCATATTTGATATTAAATTTACCCTAGACATGATACTAGGAATCATAATAACAATCTAAGCATGATTTCTATATCATAACATCAATAAAAACCATTAAATTACTTACTTTGATGCCTCGTACCTCAATCTAATAACAAAATACACACGTTAGTAACTTCAAGGAAAATAATAAACAAAACAATTAAATTAAATAATTGAAATAGAGATTTGGGACCAAACCCTCATAAATTAAACCTTTCACGTCTAGGGCGAAGGCAACTTCGAATATGGCTAGGTGTTTCTAAGTCTTGCGAATGCGGAATTTTGTATTTGAGAAAAGCTAGTTTAGAAAAGAGAGAGAGAAAATAATCAAGAGAATCTTGATGAGAGTTGGTATATTGTAGATGAGAATTGGTTAAATTTAGAAAGAATAAGAATTGATGATTGTTGATGAATGAAAATTGGTTTTTTAGATTAAAACTGGTTATCGAAAACGGAGTTTTTAGCACGTTATTTATAGAGAAAATCAGCCAAAAAGATAAAATATCGAAACAGAGTCTGGCGCACAAAAAACCTGATCAGCGCGCAGGCGCCAAGCGTAGCGCCAGGCGCTACAGCTGGCGTTTGGCGCTGATTCAGAAAATCACGCGTTTTTCTTAAAATCAGATAAAAATTGCTGTACAGGAGGATAAAATCGTATTTCCCTCAAAAATTCTCTTTGATTTTAATTAAAACTCTGAAAAGTCAACAAAGTCAATTTATCAATGCTAATTGAATTAGGAATGAAAAGAACCTTCTAGAATAATCTAGAAGACTAAAACCATTCCTAATTGCATTAGGAATGATAAATCTATATTAGGCCCTCCCCTAGATCATTGGGCTGCATATAAGGCTCAAAACGGGTTCAGTTTAGTAAATTGGCCATAACTTCCTCAATATTCATCGAAATTGGACTTATAATATATCGTTGGAAAGCTCTTGTCAAGCCTCATCTAACTACACTAATATTGGACCCATATCATGGACCAACCAAACTGGATTAACTGTTTTCTTAAAATAAGTTTTCTAAAACAGAGAGAAGAGAAGAATTAAAATTATCCGCAATACTAAACTTTCCACACTTTCACTTCATTCGATCATGATTCGACGCGAAAGGTACTCATCACTAGGCTTGGTTTTGGGGAGACACAAATGGGTGTCTACACAAGGGTATTATTTGTAAGACAATTTGTTTAAAATATTTCTTGGATTTTCTGCATTGTAACCCTATAACTTTCCATTTACTACGATGTGCCCCCTTTTTGAGAAACCACACTATAACCCCAAAATACATTTAATTTATAAGCTTGCTTGTATCCCCACGTTAACAAATTCCGTTAGTGGGGTTTTCTCTCCACTTAATAATATTTTTTATCGATTTGTATGTTGAAAATTGTTCTATTTAAGGTTTTGGGGGCTATTTTAGGCTTTAAGGGTCCAAATCGAGTACAAATTTGGCAAAAATATAACGTAAATGTCTCGTTTTGTGTATTAAATACTTAAACACGTAAATCAAGTCATTTCTTAATACACTAAAAGAGGTTACGTTTTTTTCCCAAGATTTGAGCTCAATTGGATCCTTAAGAGACTAAATAGCCCTCGAAATCTTTAATGAAATAATTTTCAACACGCAAATCGATAAAAAATATTATTAAATGGAAAATGGGCCCCACTAGCGGAATTTGTTAACAGCGGAATAACGAGAAGGTTACCGTATAGAAACTAAATGTATTTTGGGATTATAGTGTGGATTTCTCAAAAAGGGGGCACATCGTAGAAAACGTAAAGTTAGAGGGTTATAATATAGAAAAACTCATATTTCTTTGTTACAACTAAACAGTAACGGAAGTATTCCATAGTGTATACTATCTCCGTTTTTTATTAGGTGACACATTTTGACTTTAGCACTATTCACAGACTTCCCTTTGATTGTGTTTTGTCATTTAATAATAAAAAACATAGTGATGTAGGTTCTTGTTAGAATCGTCACGATATATATTTTCTAAATATCAACTTTTTATAATTTTTCCTTATTGGAAATTAAATATATAAATGGTTGAATTTGTGCATTGACAAATGTAACACCCCGATTTACTAGCTATTAATAAACAATAAATAAAGGGAATATAAACAACCTTTAAATAAAATTGCGGAAGCATACACCTAAATCGGAGGTATTACCGCCACACTCAACAACCTGTCAAGTGTTAAGGCTTACAAATCCCAATAATTATAACCCAATAAATCTAGGTGAGCTATTTACAACTTTACAAACTCGTTATAGCATACTAATCGATCACTTGAGCTCCTTTAGCTACGATCACTTGATTAACCTGCTTAAACAATCTTGACTGCTCACCATTAAGGACAAATTCCAAAATAGATCGTCGCAGGGCCACCATAAGAAAAAGACTTGGCCGCAAACACAAGTAGCACATCAAAACAACACACACGTCAGCAAAAGCTGAGTAATCACCACATATCAGAATATAGAGTATAATATAATAATTAACATTACTAGATCAATTAAACAATGTAGTTCGAAACTACATTACACATTGTACTCTGAAAGTAACCTTTAACAACTCAACCTCGAATAATAATACGAACTTTTACTCAATTAACTCATATAACCCATAAGTGTGCCATGCTCTTTGTTTTATACCTAGCCTTGGACATGGGTAATTCAAATAAAACCAACAAGTATAAAAACTTGAATATTCCCAATAACTAGAAAACACCTTGAACAAGACCACATACGGGCCAATTCCCATTGTAGGGGACCATAGAAAAATAAATAATAAAGATTGTACCTCATTCTTAACTCATGATTATTACCCTCTTACCAACAAGCCAAGGACTAAGTCATATAACGCCGAGCCTCAAACCAAGAACAGAATAATAATTCTCAACCTTTTGATCTCGTACATCGATCAAATAATCATTCACATGATAATAAATTCTCAATATTGGCACATGCTCCCAAATAATATAATAATTCGAACTCGATTCAATCGTAATATATCTCAACTCTCATAGGGCAATCATACTAGTTACCCAAATGTAATCAACTCTCAACCCAAAATAATACTCTGCATTAGTAACCCTAAAACCTCAATATAACAATACTCCCTAAAATAACAACATTAAAAACCCTAACACGAATAACACAATAATCAATTCGAAAATTAAATCATAAAATACAGTACAACAAAAGTAATACAATATTCAATACCAATCAAATCATATAATACCATATAATAATCAATTATATACATGTACAAGATTACAAATAATAAATCATACAATTCATATATAATAATAATGAATATAATACAAACCACTCCAAAATAAGTTTCGTGTGATTACATAAAATAAATAATACAATCAAATTATAAACAAACGATATAAGGGTTGATAGTGTGATTACCAGATGAATTCACTTCCGACTACGGCAAGAAATAGGCTAACATAGGCTTTGATTTTACCAAAAAAAAAAAAAATATCATGTGGCTTCTCCATTGATCTCATCATGATGTAACCATCAAACAGAACAATTGATATGATGATGGAAATTGTTGAATGAAAAAGAAAATTTAATGAAGAATCAAAGTTTTGGTATTAGTTAACATAAACCACGCACGAAAACCACTGCTCCCTTTTTTTATTTTTTATTTATTTTTTATTTTTCTAAAATACAATAACTTTATTAGGGTTTAAGATAATTTATAGTTCATAAACAAGAGTTCTACTGGACATAAAATAGGAATTAAAAATTATTTTATTTATTTTTCCATAAAATATATTTTATAAAATCGTAAAATATTTGGGTATTACACTCTACCCTCCTTAAAACAAGTTTCGTCCTCAAAACTTAAAAAAGAGAATTTTAGGGTATTACAATCTACCCTCCTTAAAAAACAAGTTTCGATCTCAAAACTTAAAATAGATGAAAAATAACTTACTTGTAAATTTAAAAAAATGTAAAAACTAAATCAAAATTTTCTGTATAAAATATATAAATAGAGTAATAAAATAGTAGGGGTATTACATACAACAAACATAACTAAAACGTGTCAACTAAAAGAAACGGAGGAAGTATAAAACGAGTTGGTACTCCATACCAATTACCAATACTTGATCCAATTGTCCTAATTCGAAAGTGAACCAATTCATACTTATATAAGTTATATTGTTGTACGGGTTAGTGATTTAGCATGTATCAAACTCTATTTTAGGGCTTGTTCTCATACACTGAACTCAGCTGAACTGAACTGAATTGAAATGAGTATTTTATAAGAGAAGGAAATTAGGAGCTTAACTGAAATGAAAATAAACGTATGAGAACTGACCCTTAGTCTCAACCTAACTAAACCTAACTAGCCCAATCTAGTGATCCAAATTGACACTTCACCATAGAGACATAGGCCCTGTTTTTATTTACTTTACTGAATTGAACTGAACTGATTGGAGCTGAGCTGAACAGAACTGAACTGAAGTGAACTGAATATTTTATGAGAGAAGGAAATTAGGAACTGAACTGAACTGAACTAATTGGAGCTGAAGTGAAGTTACTGAACTGAAAATAAGCTGAAGAAAATAGGCCCATATATAGTAGTGTGAGAACCGAAATGTACCTCCTCCACCTTAAAGAATTAAAGCACTTATACTTTTATTTTGAATTTTTACTTTGACAAACCACAACTTTTCTTTTGTTGATACATGATTATAAGTTTTATAAGATTCAAATTAATGTATTGACAAATTTGACTGTGTTAATTATTTTAAAATGGGGGTAATACGTTGTTATTGATACGAGTAGTGTTACAAAACAATAATTCGATGTCGAATGCAGAGGTATAAATTCAACTTTTCCTGCTAAACCAAGCCATAAGGTACATGGATATACTTTATTTTCACTTTTTCTTTTTAATCCTTGGACTATAACTTTATTTATTTATTTATTTTTTGAAACCCGACTATAACTTTTTTTTTTTTTTTTTTATGAATAACCCGACTATAACTTTATTAGTACTCGTTATTTAAGATAAACAGATTGTTTAAAATAAAAGTGATATTTGATTGAAACATGTAAAATAAGTACAATAATTATCCTTACAAATTCAACATTTACAACAATAAATTTAACATGAAATTACTTGATCGTTCAAAATTGATTCGTCGTACTAGATGATGCAATTGTCACGTTACTACATTCAACATTACATAACTCTCGAGTTTAAAGCAAACTAATGTGATAGATACTAATACATTAACCAAAATAAGGTAATTGAAAGTAGACTTGTTTATCCTTGAACAATCTCTAACCCAAGCCGGATTGAACTAAACTTGATCAGAACGACCCATTTGAAACCTTGTAAAACGCTATTGAGATTTGCCTTTGATAAGGCGGAGTGTAAATGCCTTCAATGCAAGGAGCATTTCCAGCAACCTTTGCCTGAGATCTTCATCAATCAAGTCACCATTAACATCAAATTTTTTAGGAGGTAAAACAGAATTCACAAAGAATTCAGGCTTGTTGATGAAATGAATGTCAAGGAAAACTCCGATTTGGCGAAGATGGTATTGCCCACTTCTGCTGCTGGCTTGCACACTGGCTACTGCTGCTGGCTTGTCTGCCCAAGCGTTTGGTGGTCTTGATGCCCAATCTAGTGCATTTTTCAATATTGCTGGTACAATGTAAAGGTTGAACATAAATTAGTTACTTTACTACAATTATAAATTGTAATCAGTATTAGTTTAGTGAGGTATAAATGGTATAATGCATAAATTCATTCATCAATCGACAAAAATATGAAAGTAGACATAATAATAAACTTGATCATATTTATGTATTAAACTAGTCATTTGGACTGATTTTATGGTTTGATTTGTTTTATAATACTATATGGTTGCTAACTTGTTGAGTCATTTAGTTTGGGTCGGACACAAGCCGGGTCATATTAGGTTATTAAACTAGTCATTTGGACTGATTTTATGGTTTGATTTGTTTTATAATACGTATATGGTTGCTAACTTGTTGAGTCATTTTGTTTGGTTCGGGCACAAGCCGGGTCATATTAGGTTATTTACGAAACATTTTACTAGTGTTACGAGTTTTGATGAGTAGGTGTTATGAATGGGTTGGTTTATGTGTAAGAGACTAATCATGAAACTTTTCTATCTGATTAGTCAATTAAGATGATCTCAATGGGGGTCAATTGTTGACAATTCTAATTATAAAAAAATCACTTGTAGTCTAATTAATATTAAATTATTAATTCATTCTAAGTTTAGTTCAAATAAATTTTGATTCAAAGTCAAAATTGGGTTTTTAATTAACAGGTTTAGTAAATTTATATATAGTTAATTTAATAGGATCGATTTTCTTTTATCGTATAGCTAATAAATAGGGATGACAATAGGGCGGGTCGGATGCGGATGATGATACCTCCATACCCATACCTGCCTAAAAATCTTATACCCATCCCCGCCCCACCACCCGTGGCGGGTACAATATCCATATTCATAGCCGCTCCACCGAGTACAAGATAGGATCCATCCCCACCCCATCACCCACTTGGATATTCATACCCACCTCATCCCCGCACCAAAATTGTCCCAAACCCATTGCCATGATGCTCTATTGTATCACATTAATGACAGTTATACCAAATTAGGTTAAGAAAATTGGGACTTTCACTATTCAAACTTATTGGGTATTAGGGTATATTAAGTTTCATAAGGGTGAGTTTATCCGCAGACTCAGACCCAGACTCTAGACTTTGCTACATCAACTTTCCCTTAACTTTAAAATGTTTTTTTTTTATTATTCAGATTTATACAGGAGTTTCTCTAAATTCACACATTATCCCAAGACTCACTCCAGACTCACTTATCCTCTCAAAAATATATTTATTTATTTATTTTATATATCTTTAATTATTTTTTAAAAAAATTATTATAAACATTATTAATATTAGGTGATGAGTTGGCAAGAATTGGTTGGCTAATGAGAAAATATTGCAGCATTTTTGGTCACATGCAAAGTGTGGAGAATAGTTTTACTTTTACAAACTCACTCCACGCTTGAGTCTTGAGTGAGACTCTACTCAAGACTCACTCCAAGACCCCTTATAAACTCACCCTAAGTTCTAAACTCTTCTAAAAATAATATGGTTTAGGAATAAGACGGATATGGGGCGGGACTACTCTGAAATTCATACCCACCCATCACCCATGACGGGTACACATTTTATATCCATCCCCGCCCCATCACCCGCCAAACCTCCCTCTATCCCCGCCTCGCCCCACCCCACTTGAGTGGGGACGGAGATGAGATGGGTCTCCCATTTAACCCGACCCATTGCCATCCCTACTAATAAAGCTTAACATTTAAAATTCACATAGCATAAACTAAACTAAATGTACTTAAAAACATCAAGATAATAATTAGGAAAGTGATAGAAATACTTACGTGTGACAGAGTAATTATAATCAGGAGTAGCAAAAAACACAGCATCAGCTTCACGAATCTTGCGTCTAAACTCTTCAACCAATGGAGGGTAAGTGCCATTCACCTCAAGGTCAACATTCAACATTGGCAATTTTGATAGGTCTAGTTCTTCCATTTCCATTCCTTGTATCTCTGACTCTGTGCACATCTTCATTGCTGTAAAACAATCACACAATCAATAATATCGATCATATTCAATTTTAGTCGAAGATTTTAAATACTACCTCCGATTTTTATTAGTTGCAACTTTAGAATATATCTCACAAATAATAATTCAAAATTACAAGTAAAAAAAGCCAGAGGTAATAGAAAGAACAAAAAGAAACGAACAAGTAATATATTAGCGCGATTAAAAACATACCTGCACGAATGATGCCTCGATTGGTAGAAGCTTTACGAAGAGAGCCACAAAGAGCAACGACCTTAATCACTGGTTTCTCTTCCATTTCACTTCCCATTTTCTCTTTTTAATTAGGAATTGATTTATGTGAAAGCTTAATGTTTTTTTTTAAAAAAGTTTAGATCTTATTGTGTAGATTCATGGCTTTATATAAGGGAGGGAAAATGAAATAAATAAATAGATGTGTCAACCAAATATGATTGAGATTCGTTTTGTAGCCAGTCGCTGAAGTGTCAATCTAATGGTCAGAGAAGTCCGAGGATTTTTCTATTTTGCTGACCTATGCGATGATGTGGCGTTCAATCTCAAGTGCGTGATTTTTTAGTTTTTAATTTACTTGAACTTTCTTAGAAATTGGTGGTTTAATGGCAAAAGCTAAACGGGACGCACGATAAAATAATTAAAAATAGAATTATGGAGTACTCTCTCCGTGTTTTTTAAAGTGTTACAGTTTGACCGGCACATAATTTTAGGCAATTTAATTGATTTGAATAAAATAAGAGATAAGTGGGTAATTAAAGTATTAAAAAATTGTAAAAGAAGGCAATTTAATTGACTTAAATAAAATAAGAGATAAGTGGGTAATTAAAGTATTAAAAAATTATAAAAGAAAGATAATGAAGTTAATAGTTTATTAAAAAGTAATGAATGTGAGAGAAAAGATATCATAAAAAAGTAGTATTGGGTTTGGGTGAGGACCATGAGAGGAGAGAGATATACAGTAATATTTAATATTTTAATGTAGCTTTTTGCCAAAAAAAGAAGTGTAACACTTAAAATAATACGGCCGAAAATGAAAAGTATAACACTTAAAAAAACACGGAGAGAGTATTAACTTTAAAAAACATTAATTACACTAAACGATACGTAATTTTGGCATGCATTTTCAAATTAATACAGAGTATTATTTTAGGATATACTCTTTTCGACCACAAAACTCATTTTCTGTTTGGATAAACCAAAATACAATGTCAATTTCTATTTAAGGTTGTATATTATGACATTAATACCCATTTTTTTTTAATGAGTTTCCATTTTTTTCCTTTACTTTTTGTACTTTTAATATCAATTTCCAACACTTTCTCTCTATATCTTTTCAATTATTTCTCAACTACTTTTTCTTTGGAAAATTTGCAAATTGCAGCCATTTAAAGTTCATATTTTGCAAATTGCAGCCATTTAAAAAATTAATTGCAAATTACAGCCTAAAAGTTCGTATAAAATTTTAAACTGCAGCTCAATTCAACTTTTTTTATCGGTTTACATGTCAAAAAATATTCGGTTAAGGTTTTAGGGGCCATTTTAGCCCTTAAGGACCCGAATTGAGCTCGAAATTAGCAAAAAAATAACATAAGTGTCTCGATTTGCGTAACAAAAATGTATCGATTTGTGGGTAATTGTAAAAATGAGACACTTACGTTAATTTTTTGATAATTTCGAGCTCAATTCGGACCCCTTAGAACTAAAATGACCCCTAAAACCTTAACCGAAGATTTTTCGACATGTAAACCGATGAAAAAGTTAAATAGGGCTGTAATTTACAATTTATACGAACTTTTAGGCTGCAATTTGCAAAAAAAATTGTAAATGGCTGCAATTTGCAAATTTTCCTTTTTCTTTCCCTTTATCTCTCTCTAACCCCACATGCACATATGTATTTTTAATCATTGATTATAAAGAATTCATAACTTTCTTAATTTACACGTAAAAACCAAAAAAGCATTTGTATTAGGGGGGTGGAGGGAGTGTCTTAAAGGGTTGTCCAATGCCTCTAGCGCATTCGTTAGCAAGATTCACATGTAATTCACTTTACATCTTAATCCCTCCATATTTTACTGCTTGGTTTATTTCTTTGGATATATAATTTTAAGATAAACAATAGAAAATACTATTTTATGACAAAAATGACATTGGTTGAAGAATAAAAAAACAATTAAAAAGCAAAAATTATTATAAGTGAGGAGGAGAAATATGAAAATTAGATGTGAGTAGATCACTAAGCTAGTTGAAGGATAATAGTATGTAAGAATTTCAAAAGAAAAAAAATATAATAAAAACGGAACAAGTAATAAAATACGGAGGAATTAATTCAAAAAACATTGGTAAAAAATAAGTATAATGAATAGTGTCAAAAACCCTGATGGAGCACTTAAAAAACAAATTGAGTAACAAACTAGATACATCGAATAAGTTTATATCACATCAAACATAAAATTGTACTCCACTGATTTTTTTAAGTGTCTTAAAGTGACATAGCGCACATCTGGTGTAAAACTTTGTCCAATAATATCTTTTATTATCAATAACTTTATAAATTATAATAACTGAATATTAATAATTTACGTACTCATTAAGTTGATTCTTAACAAATATCCACAAGACTACATTTTTTTAATATAATTGTAAATATTGGTAAAGTAGGTCTAATAAAAAGTTCCAAAACTCCTAAAGTCCTAATGGGTCACTTAAAAAATAAATAAATAAATAAAATAAAATAAAATAAAATAAAATAAATAAAAACTACCAATGTTTGGATTGAAGGAAATGGAGGGAAAGAAAGGGAAGAGAAATAAAGGGATGGATTCTCCTTCATTTGGATAACAAATGAGAAAGGAAGAGAATTGGAAGGGAGAGAAATGAAGGGAAGAAATTGTAAGAAATTAATCTCTCCAACAATGGAGAGATTTGGAAAGAAAACTCATCCTTCTTCCCTCCCCTCCCTTTTACCTCCCCCCCTTCTTTTCTTTCCCATTTCTGTATCCAAACACACCGTACAAGATATCTAATTACATCAAATAAAAAACAATGTGATAACATCATAAAACTTACGTGTACAATTACTACAATTAAGCTGTAAGGATGATTATATTAAATTACAGAATTTCCTCAAATAAAAAAAAAATTAATTTTTTTTTTTTACAGAAACTACAATGATCATATTACTAAAATTATTATGAGAAATTCTCATTGGTAGCAACAAACAATTGCACATTCTCATTGGTAGCAATTTTTTTTAAAAAAAATCTCTTAAATAGCATTTGTAATCTAATTACTCTCTAATATAGCATTATTTTACTAAAACTAACATAATTAAGTTAATTGGACTAACCATAGTTACATAATTTCCCTCCAACACAATTAAAACGATTTCCCTCCCCCCAAAACTAGGGTTCTTATATAAAACTCCTATTTCCGCAATTTTTCTAACTTCCATCTTCTTCCTCTGAATATTGTTTCCCTCTTCTTCTCTGTAATTTATATGTTGCGAATTAAGCTAGTTGCAATGGTGGAAAAGTGAGAATACAGCCCCAAACAGCAGGGTCCGCGACCAGGCCGCGGGAGGAGGCAATGAGCCGCGACCAGGCCGCGGACAACACTGCTGCCTGGGCTGAGCAGTAGCAGGCAACAAAAGGTGTCGCGAGCAGGCCGCGAGAGGAGGGGTACGGTCGAGCCGCGACCTGGCCGCGGACCATACTGCCAAGGATGAAATGATGAACAAAGGTCGTGTAATTGAAGCACATCAGCAGCAAGTTTGAATTCGGGGAGTGAGCATGATGTTGCTCCCGGTTTGACAGTGACTTGGGAGTCGGAGTATGGTGAAACTGTGAAAGGCTTACAACGATGTTGTAGAGATGATCCTAGATGCTGGTCACACTAACACTATTTTGACAGTATGATTTTGGTTATGCCCGAATGATTAAAGAAAAAGACTACGAGTATAATTTTATTGATGTGAAGAGCAGAGCTAAGGTTACTAATAATTGAAGCACATTTGTTAATGGAACAAGAGATTAATTTTATTCACCTGAAAAGGCAGTTGCTGTAAAAATATGCCATTTGAATAAAAATAATTCGGTGGGATTGAAGCTAAGGAACATACCTAAGCTTTTTATGCATTGGGGATTCTCTCATTAAATCTGCACAAAAATGAAATTTTAATTTCACATTATTCTGAACTCTAATGTCTCTACTCTAGCACACTTGATATAATCAAGATAAACACAAAAATTGACAAGAATTGACATTCATATATAATCAACAAACTGCCATTTTCAATCCCAAAGATGATAGAATATACAAATGATCCCAAAAACAGGTGTTGACATTCATCCATAACAAAGTTCAAATTGAAATAAACCACTTGTTCAAGCAAAAAACATATTGCTCAAAAAACAGAATATCCACCATGTTTACTCAACTAATAAGTTATTGCACTTTTCTTGGTTGTGATGCAAAGTTACAAATAGCTCCCCATCTAGCGACTATAGATGGTTGTGGTTGAGATGCAACCAACCTTGCACTTTGTCTGGTGTTTCTAGGTGGAGAAGGATTAAGCTGAACATTAGTAGCCTGAGACGATGCATCCTTTTTTGTGTTCTTTTTCTTTCCACCCCATTTTTGCTTTGCAGTAGCTCCTCCCTTACAAGTCTGAGCATTATGGACATAATCTTGACACTTGCTGCACCTAACAGTCTTAGCTCTCTTTCCCTTCCTTTCCTCTGTATCATCTTTCTTTCTGTTTCTGCAAGGTCTCCCAATTCCTCTTTTTAACTCAGGTGGCATTATCTTTGGCACATTGAACTCAGGCCACTTTTGAGCATCAGGTATGGACTTAATCCCATTTGCATAGGCTGCCTTGTACCTTTTGACAGAAAACCACTCATCCACAAATGCATGAGGGTCAAGCTTTGAATCTAATATAGCCCTCATTCCATGTCTGCATGGAATTCCAGAAATTTGCCATTGACCACAAGCACATGTTTTCTTATTCAAGCTTACAGCAAGATATGACTTACCCTCAAAGACCTCAAACTCACCGGCAGAAGACAAGTAAGAGTGGCAAGTTTTTGAGTTCTGACATAGCTTATGAACCCTTTGCACTATGTTTGGACAGATGTCAGTCCTGCTCCACTCCTCACACTTTTGCCTTCTTGTTGCCAATCTAACCATGGTATTTCTTCTAATACCTACCAAAAGTAAGTAAATTATGAAACATAAGTAGCCATATTAATGCAAGTAAGGATAGGTCTAACAAGTAATGCAAGTAATACCCAAAATAAAATTGTACCTTCTAAAAGTGTAAGGACTGGTTTACATCTGTCAATGCCAAGAGTGGCATTAAAACTCTCAACAAAGTTTGACTTATTAGAGTCACACTTTGTTGCAGTGTTGAACTTATGCTTTGTCCACCTAGATTGTTCTCCAAGCTTTGCAAGCCACAATTTTCCTCCTTTTCCAACCTTGTCCATTTGCTCCATTGCTTTCTTAAAGGTAAATTCTGAATAGGCACCACATGCTTTCCAAAACAGAGAGAGAATTAGTGGACCTGGAAATGCTTTCTTCCAATTGGAAGCCAAATGTTTGGTGCAGTATCTCCTATCAACATCTGGCCAGACCTTGTCAAGTGCAGCTTCAATACCCTGTTAATTTGGCAATCAATATCAGTCTAGATAATGCAAAAAAAAAAAAAAAAAAAAAAAATTGCAATTTAACATAGATTTATAGCTACAGAAGTATACCTTTTGCCTATCTGAGTAATGCACCAGTTATCTCCTCTTCCAGTTGCTCTTAGTAGATTTCTCAAATGATGAACAAAAAAGCTCCATGTATCTGAATCTTCAGTAGACACAATTCCCCATGCAAATGGAAACAACTCATTGTTCCCATCTAATGCAATAACAGACAGTAGAACCCCCCCTCCCCATATTTCCCTTTCAAGTGAGTTCCATCAACTCCCACAAAACCCCTAACTCCATCCCTTAGCCCATCCAAACAAGGCTTAAAAGAAATGAAGATTGTGACAAAAGCCAATGGCCTGTCAACATGAGTTGCTGGATTCCATACACAAGTAGCATATGAACCAGGGTTAGTTCTCCTAATCATCTCACAATAACCAGGAAAAAATGCATAAGATTCATCAAAGCCACCATGTATCTCTATTAAAGCCCTTGCTCTGACGCGATACAAAGTACTAGTAGCCATTTGCACATTGTATCTATTCCATAACAAAGCATTCAAAGCCTTACCATATATATCATTAGTAGCTCTAATGTTTTCTAACAGTACTCTACTTGCCCACTTTGCAGTTACCATAGGGTTTTTTTTTATCTCCAAACCCAAGCATGTGTGATCATGATTTTTAATAGACTTGATAGCCCAAGTGAACCCATCTGTCAGTTTGGAAGCATGGAGCCTCCACTCACAACCTTCTGCAGAACAATACACTGTGTATATGGAATTAAAATTGCCCTATCAACAGCAACAGAAAACCCACATTATATGCAATAATCTCTAACAACATCTCTTAAATGTTGTTTGTCACAAAAAAAGTTGCCATGGTCTTAGTTCTATTCTCCCATCTTCTTCTCTATCAAACATTTCTCCATTTTTATAAAGCTTTGCAAAGTAATTCCCATCCCCATCATCTTCTATATCATCATCTACCCAAACATCATCTTCATAAGGGTCATAGTTATCACATACCACCATATCATCAACATCACTTAGTTGCATATCCTCTTCATCATCTAAAGTTTCAGCATCACTAGAAGAGCTATTGACTTGTCCAGAATGGGTGAATGGTGGATCTTCTTCTTGGTCAGAGTCCATATCCAAATCTTCAAGTGAAACTATGTCATGTGTTCCACCATTAGATATAGACATTGAACTACTAGCAGCTAACAACCCTTTTCTCCTAGTTGTTGTATTTGGCACTTTCTTTCTTAACACTAGTGTTTTAGAGGATAAGGATGAAACAGGTTCAGGTTGCAATGGTAGTGGAGGGTAATCAGATTTTTTTTATGTTTCCTTGGACTTCTTCTGACCACTCTAACACCTATGTCTGCTTCAATCTCAGGCCCATTTTCAGGTTCACTAGCACTTATGTCAGTTGCAATCCCTGATTCAACTCCTTCTGTGTCCCCGGTTTCAAGCCCCAACCAGTACTCATATCCCCTTCCCCTCCCTCCAGTACCCCTTCCTCTCCCTCTACCCCTTCCCCTCCATCTATCTTGGCCCCTTCCTCTCCCTGTACCTCTCCCAACCCTCTCCCCCTCCCTCTCCCTCTATTACCAACTAACTGAACATATGCATTTAAATTATCCTCATCCTCAATTGGTTGATCCCCTAACTTCACCACACCTCTATATTCACCCCTACCCCCACACCTCCCACCTCTAGTTTTGACAGTACCTTATTTTGACTCAAATCACCCATTTCATCCAAGTTAACAGAGAATGAAATACCAGCAGATTCTGCAACACCTTTCATTTGTTCCTTAATCTGTCTTGCATTCCTAGTTGTTCTTAAAGCCTTAGCATCTTTAAAAATTTGACTTGGACTATTAGCATCATACACTCATATGTGTATCTCATTCTTTCCAGCAAAGTCATAGAACATCTTCATTAAGTCCTTATCACTATTAAGATAATGGTAATTTTTGTTATGCACATATCTAAATGTAGGGAATTTGGGCATTTCAATACATCATTCAACGGCATAATCCCAATAATCTATGATCACATCGATAAGGTTTGTCTTATCGATGTCCTTGACAACAACATCTACATCACCACTTCTAAACTTGAATTTCAACACAATAGCATCACCCATTCTGCATTTATTAAACCAAATACACATCTCAATTCAACTTGCAACATTAACTCAATAAATTCGTAACATTCAACTAATTTTGGACAGAACTAACAATCCTAAAAATACACAAGAATTTCTCCATTACAACCACACGAATTCACGTATAAAAACCCAAAACAAACCACACACCAATTAACAATAAAACATACCCTAATTTACCAGAAAGATTAAAAATTTCAGCACATAAAAACCCAGATTTCTCAAACAATCATCCATGGAAAAAACAGAGCAATTATAACAACAATACATTTCAATTAAAAAAAACAGAAAATTTAGGGTTCAAATAGGATGACATACCTTCCCAAAGTCAAAATTTAGCACCTTGGAGAGATTAGGATTGAAATTGGTAGATTGATAATTGTTGTTTAGCACTCGAAAATCATCAACGCAGCAGCACAACTACGTTCGAAAGTGTTGAACGGCAAAAGTCTTCAATGAATGGGCCTTTTTTAATTGATCAGTGGGAGTGCATTTACAAAATTAAAAGGGGTATTTTAGTCCATTCCATATTATGTAACCATGGTTAGTCCAATTAACTTAATTATGTTAGTTTTAGTAAAATAATGCTATATTAGAGAGTAATTATATTACTAATGCTATTTAAGAGATTTTTAAAAAAATTTGCTACCAATGAGAATGTGCAATAGTTTGTTGCTACCAATGAGAATTTCCCAATTATTATTAATACTCATACAAAAACAAAATCAAAACTCTTAGTTCTATTTGAAATATGGATAGCTTTAGAGTATGATGCAAATCAAGTTTAGGGTAGCTCAACTCGACTCGTTAACATGATCGAATCGAGGTTAATTGAGCTTTGACTGAGTTGAGGTTTGACCAAATTTAATCAAGTCGGTCTTGAGTAGCTTGTAATTTGATTCGTATTTTAGAACTCCGTACTTAGAGTGACATCATTCTCTCTCTTTTAATTACGTCTTTTGAGAAATATACATATGGTGATATGAGTGCATAAATATTATTCTAATGAACTTTTGAGTCGAATAATGAAATGCTCGGCTTGACTCGTCAACAATTCAAGTCAAACTTACACAAGTCGAGTTTTGACTGTCTCGAGCTCAAATAGCCCCCGAGTCCGTTATCTCGTCTCACAAGCATCCTTATATAGGCTCCTAATCTCCTATTCAAATGGAATCTAACATTTTACATTCTTATTCTTCAAACATAGTCATATGATATCTTATTAATTTTGTCTAAATTTTTAATTTTCTAATACGGGTATGTAGTATGAGATATGTTAATTACATTATAAAATCGGAAATATAGAAAACATAGGGGGTATCATATTCAACCTTTTTTTTTTCTTCTGAAAAATCATATTCAACTTGTTTATCAGAAGATTAAGAAATTTCTATTGAAAATATGATACCCTCTAGTGAAATTTCTATTGAAAATATTTTGAGTATGATACTTTGATACCCCCTCTATTAAAAATATGATACCCCTTCTATTGAAATTTCTATTCAAAATAGTCAATATGATACCTTCTCTATTGAAACTTCTATACCCTCTATTGAAATTTCTATTCAAAATATTAACTTTTCAACATGAATATCAATATATTAAGAAAAAACAATCAAACATTGTTATCAAATTAAACAAGTATAAATTAGCAATTTCGGACATCTCTCGAGCCACACACTAGTTGCAATTTTGCAAATATTATAAAACGGACGTAAAATAAAAGCATTGCAGTTATTACAAAACGAAGGGAGTAATTTTTTATATAAACATAACCAAATTTTAATAGTTCAAATTGTGCATTGACAAGTGTTAAACCCTTTGTGTTTGTTTTTTGATGCAAAAACCCTTTTTGTTTGTAGGTAAAATAGAGTGGAAGAGGTATATAAGTTTAAAAAAAATTTACAAACAAATTAGGTCGATCGAGAAAATTAAAGTTCAGGAAAAAAGAATGTGAAAATATTGTGTAGAACGGACTCCTATGAGTCCGGTCATACAAACAGAAAAAAAAAAAAAAAAATTTAATTGTCAGAAATTAGATAATTATGGTTAGATATTAAGTTATAAATATCATATATTAGATTAAAAGTGTCAGAAATTAGATAATAATGGTCAGATGTTAGATTATAATTATCAGATTTTAGATTATAAGTGTAAGATATTAGGTTTTAACTGTCAGAAATTGAATTATAATAGTCAGATATTATATTTTAATTATCAGATATTAGATTGTAATTGTTAGGATTTAGATAATAATTAACAGATATTAAAATAAAAGTGTCAGAAATTAGATTATAATAGTCAGAAATTGGTTTATAAGTATCAGATTATATTTAAGGGTTCCGCAGCACAATAAACAGCCAAATTTGACGACTCGAATTCCTCCCACTGTTCAACAGAGAGAGAGCTGAGAAGCTGCTTCGATAGTATGGTAGATTCTAGAATGAAGAACAAAAAGAAGAGAAACTTTCGTTTGTTCGGTGGTTGTTCCTGTGTATTTTGTGGGGTCGCCTGCGTCGAGAAATGGATGGGGGGTCGCCGGCGCCGGGGGGATGGGAGAGGGTGTTCGTCGGCGCCGGGGGATGGGTAGGAGAGGGTAGTCGCCGACCGTAAAGTGGCTAGGTGGTGGCAGTGGCAGTGGGTGGGGATGGGTAGAGGTGATCATTGGACGGGCTTACCGAGCTGAAGCTAAAAAATTATGCCCACTTCTCGGGCCGGGCCAAGCTTCGGGCCCAAAATCGCCCAAAATGGTCAGGTCGTGTGGGCTTTTTCGGGCCAATATGGATGAGACCTAAAAATTCAACTAAATATGCGTAAAAATGTATTCCCAAACCCACCCCAAAAAAATTTCGAATCGGAAAATTCTGTCCAAAACCCGCCCAAAATCGAGTCAGGTCGGGATAACCTTGATCAGGGATGGGTGTGTGCATTATAAATCGGACTCACGTGAAACGGTTTCACGCAAAACCTTCTAAAAAAATAGCCTTAGACTCATTTACTCTAGTCTAAAACGACTGTCTGATAACATCAAAACTAAACTCTAGCCTTAAACAACTGATTACATCAAAATTATCTCCTACGTATTATTCGCATACTATTACTCCCTCCATTAATTTTCTTTTTAATGTATTAGTTTGAATTTTGCACTATTCACATACCATGTTTGACTTTTTCATTTTTATTTTTATTTTTTTTGCTATTATAAAATAAATACATGTTACTCCCTCCGTTTTTTAATACTTGTTTCACTTTCCATTTTCGGCTGTTTTTAAATATTTAATCCATTTTCTTTTTTGAAAATCTTTTATAATATTTAATTCATTTCTCTCACCTAGTGAACCCAACATAAATCATATTTTTTAATTTTTTTTTTTCTGAAAACTAAACCATATTTTATTAACTTCATATTCTCTCTCATCTAATTTCCCCACTACTTTGCTTTTTACGATTTTTTTTTTTAATTCTTCCACCAACCTAACTACCTTTATATTTTATTACTTTATGCAATTTTAAAACTCCGCGCATGGAGAAATGGAACAAGTATTTAAAAATGAAGGGAATATTATATAATATATTATAAGATTCCCCATAATGTTTACTTTCATAATATAAATTTGTTACAATTTTACTAATAAACAATTAAAAATATTAACGGTCAAAGTTACATCTTGACAAATGTGTCAGTCAAAGTAATGCATAAAAAATAAAAAAAAGAAAAGAAAAAAAGAGGGAGTATCCACTTCGCAAATTATAGTCGTATAAAATCTTGTTAAATTTGTCTAAATGTGAACGTAGTATTTATTAGATTAGAATTTAAATTTTATAATTTGTACAAATTCATAATAAAACATTTTACATAAATTCTTATATGCTTTTTTTATTCGAATGAGGCAAAGCTAATTACAAAGAAAACAAAAAGACATAAAACAAAAAATTAAAGTAGGCCACACCTCAAACATTCTTATATGTGGTTGCCTGGTTGGCCACACTATGTGGTCCTCTATCATAGGTTAACTTCGTTAGTGTTATACATAGTATGGATTAATCAGTCATTGTTACAGAAGTTAATTCGTTAGTGTTATATGCGTTATTTAGTCAATGTGAAAAGGGTTACGCGATCAGTGTTATAAGAATTGCTTCTTTTTTTTAATTGTAATTGGCCACATGGTATGGTTTAGTCGCACGCAAAACACACTCATATATTAAGAGTTAAAGTTATGCTTGAAAAAATGTAGAAAACAAAGATGATGTAATTTTTTTTTATTTTTTTTTTTTTTGAAGGTGAATTTTGGATTATGTGAATATTAAATAACCTTCAATTAATAATTTGGATACATATTTTGGATACATATTCTAACACAAATGCAAATGTTGGTAACAAGTGGGCTTAGCAATGGGTGGAGCCTAGCTAGGCCCAAGGAATATAAGCCCGACACCAATTCAAGCACAACGCCACAACCCACCAGGCCACCACCATCTTTAAATACAAGCAATTCACTTGCTATATGATTAAGCTATTTTATTTTATTTCATTGAAAAACATTTTTTGCATTAAAATTTGTTAATTAACAAATTATTTGTATTGCAGGGGACTGAAACTGGTACGACTTTATAATTAAGGAGGTAACCATTATAATTCACAATATTATATTAATATATAAATCCAAAACCAAAATATTGAGAAGAATGATTTATTTATTTTTTTTGGTTTATTAAGATCAAAGATAACGACATAAAAATGCAACTCCAATACACAATATCACTGATTCACTGTACAATATAATACGGGTTAGTATGATATTATTTAATCTCTTAACCTATTAACATACTTCAATATATTTATAGCTAAAGTATATTTATCATTGTGCGTTGACTTCAAACAACCTCTATCTATCATGCAGGCCGTATTCTAAACTACAATATAACTTGATCAAGAACAATTCTTGAAAACATAGTTGTATTTTGTAAAATGATACACCCAGATGCCGTGTACCTAAAAGTAGGTAGAGCCGTACGATACATTAAAAACAATTTTTATCGCTCTTTAACTCATAGCTCTAAATGAGTTCTTAGTAGAAAAATATCAGCGAGTAAGACAATTTTAGATACGCTTATTTATCGAGTTATAGGTACATCCGAATATTTAAGTTATAATAACGTCATCTGTCCATCACAATGGAGTCATAAAAGAGCAGTTAATTAAATCAAGATGACTTAAAATGCAGGTCAAAATGTAGGTGAAAACAGGATTAAAAACAAAAAAAAAATTAATTGAAGAATAATGTTAAAATTAGGAGGGATAATATGTAACAAAAAATGAAATAAAATGATGCCAAATAGTCATAAAGAATAGAGGATTTGGAAGACTAAAAATGGGAAATGCACAGCAAAGTCTACAACTGGCACCATTAAATTTCTTACATGCAAACATCTCTTCCAACTGTTTGGTATGTTAGCAGTTTTAGGAGCAGATTTCGGAGACATTTAGATGGGTTTTGTTCAATCCTTTGGTCCAAACACAGAAATTATCAGAGGATAGGAGAGAGAGAGAGAAGAGTAAAATAAATTAAAATAATTAATAAGTAAAAATAAATTTAAAAAAATCCCACAAAAATAGACATAGAAAATACAGAGCCGGCCATTGGCTCCATTTTTTCACATTTTTTTTTGACAACAAACATCATATTGCATTTTTCACACCAGAATATTCAACCCCATGTCTTAAAATCATTAATTTATATCAAAGTTCCAATCTTTTTTGAATATTTTGATGATTCAGTTATATGGGTATGTCAAAGTTTCAATCTTTGAGACAATGTGAGTTGTTATGATAACGAGGCAAAAAGAAGAGGAAAAAAGATTGCATTTTTACTTTTTCTTAGAATTTTTTTGAGGAAATTATTTAATCTAAGGATGGAGATAGATGATGGGAAGAGAGAAGAAAAAACAGGGAATTAAGGAATGAGCTGAGATTAGGTAGGAAGAGGAAAAAGGAAGATAATGAGCAAAGATTTTGCTGGTATCTTCAAGTTCAAGGTAAAGAAATCAGCCGCATTAGCAGCAAGAAGAACAAAAACCAACAGCATCTTTGCATCAATGTCTGTTGCCCACATGGACGACGAGGACCTCGCCGCCACAGGGCCCGGGTCAAGAGCCGGGCCCGGGGAGGCGTACCGAGCCGAGACGGTGTTCACCAATGGGGATTTCTATACAGGGCTGTGGATTGATAACCTTCCCCATGGCAATGGAAAGTATTTGTGGAATGATGGTTGTATGTATGTAGGAGAATGGCAAAAGGGTAAAGCAATGGGCAAGGGTAGGTTCACTTGGCCTTCAGGAGCAACCTATGAAGGGGAATTCAAAAGGGGTTATATGGATGGAATTGGAACTTATACTAATGCAAATGAGGATTCATATAAAGGATTTTGGTCAATGAATACGAAACACGGTAAAGGTTCCGAAAATTTTGCAAATGGAGATTACTATGAAGGGGAATGGATAAAGGGGATGCAAGAAGGTCAAGGGAAATATCAATGGGTGAATGGGAATTGTTATGTAGGTCAATGGAAAAATGGAGTTTTTCATGGTAATGGTACTTTAAATTTTGCTAATGGGAATGTCTTTGAAGGGTGTTGGGAGGAAGGGTATCCTAAAGGGGAAGGTACTTACAAATGGGAAAATGGAAGTTGTTATGTTGGTGTTTGGAGTGTTGAACCTAGTGAGCAAAGTGTCACCTATTACGCGGCAAGTAATGCTTCTGATACTGGAGAAGGTGAATGGGATCCTCAAGATTTGTTTAATGTTGATATGAATGAATGCAAGATTTACCCAGGAGAGGAGATTACCATGTTTCCATCACAAAAGGTGGTCAATTGGCCTAGTTTCAATGGAAAGACAGCAAGGAAGTTGGTTGATAGTAGGGCCTCGAAAGCAGGTTGGGAATATGATCAAGATGGCTCTCCTAATGGTTTGAATAGGAGAACTGGAGAGCGTTTGGAAAATTCCATGCCACGGAACTTTCGACCTATTCTACTTCCAAAGACGATCAAGAAGCAAGGGGAGACTATCTGCAGGGTGCATAAAAATTATGAGTTGATGCTCAACTTGCAGCTAGGAATAAGGTTATTACAGAATATTTCTTTTCAAACTTGTTTCAATGAATCTACTTTTGTCTATACCCTACTTTGCTTTAGTTGCTATGTAAGAGCACATACCTCTGTACTGCAGATTGTTACAGAGTCGAAAATTTCTGTTGTATTCAGACTGCAGTTACAGGTGAAAACATAGTGTTCATTAGTTGATCATTAGCTAACAGCCTTGGTATCTTTGTGCAGACATTCTGTGGGAAGACCTGGGCCGCCAATAAAGCGTGACCTGAAGTCTTCGGCTTTTGATCCCAAGGAAAAAGTTTGGACGAAATTCCCTCCAGAAGGTTCCAAGCACACTCCTCCCCACCCATCTTGTGATTTCAAATGGAAGGACTATTGTCCTTTGGTTTTCAGGTTAGCCTTGTAATGTAGGTACTTTGGATTCTTCAATTTCTTTTCTACAAAAGCAACGAAAGCATTATTGAGGATTTTTATAGCTTGTGCCCATTCAATGAAAGCATGTAATGAAAGTAAATACGTACCAAACCATGCAACTAGCAAGCCAGGAGCTTAGCCCTCTTGAGGCAGACCCAGAATATGCCTCCCAAGTCCCAAGTAGGACGAGGTCGTGTTCGGCCATGTCTTGCAAAGGCTTTCAGGGGTACGATGGGTGCCTGACTGGCTGGCAAGGCCAATGCGTAACTAGGGAACCTCTAGGAGCCTTAGCTGAATGATTTTTGTATTAAGGAATTCCTACTCATCTGTAGAAGTTTTTATCACCTGCAAAACAACTTTTCTGCTATATTGGTTTGTATTTGGGAGGACACTTAAATATCATTAACAAGTGATAATTTTAAACAGATGACTTTTAAATTATTAATCAATCGTAATCTTAAGTTTTGATTATATTTCTGCTCAGGACCCTAAGGACACTGTTCAAAGTGGATGCAGCTGATTATATGTTATCAATTTGTGGCAATGATGCCCTTCGGGAGCTTTCATCTCCGGGAAAAAGTGGAAGCTTCTTTTACTTAACCCATGATGACAAGTATATGATTAAGACAATGAAGAAATCCGAAGTAAAAGTGAGTTGCTCTGCTTCACATTAGTTAAATTTTATCTGTCAATCTAATTTGTTACCCTCAAATAGCCCTATATGATGCATAATTCGTAAGGCTAAAACGACACTTCGGGCATGTTCGGCAAAATATAGCTGTGAAGGTAGTTGTAGCTGTGTATGTAGCTGTTAGCTGTGAAGATAAATAATTTACATATGAGTGTTCGGTAAAATAGCGGTTGATTAGCTGTTACATATGAAAATTAACATTTTATTTTTAAAACTATAGATTAAATTTTCAACAGCTACCTCCAATTTCAAAAGCTAATCTTTCTAACTTTTCATAAAAGCTACCTCCACCACTAAAAGCTATCTTAACCACTACTTTGCCAAACACCCACATTTTTTGTCAAGTAGTGATTTGACTTGGTCAAACTACTAAAAGCTACCTAAAAGCTACTTAAAACTTAGCGCCGAACACGCCCTATATCTACCAAGCGTGTATTTTAGGCTGCTTACTCAAATCGCTGACAATGTTATCATTGATAAGCCATTCTTATATCATGCAACCGGGAGGCAGGAGATCAATCATGGTACTCCTCTGCCGGTATGTGCATGGCACACACTACCTTCATGTGCCCTACATTTCTCACATGCGCTAGTGGTCACCATGCTAACTGCTAAGTGGTGCTTCTATTTCTGCAAATAGTTTAATACGCCTTCTATAACATATTTTGACCCTTATGCAGGTGCTCCTTAGGATGCTTCGAGCTTATTATAACCATGTTCGCACTTTTGAAGACACTTTAGTAACCAGGTTCTATGGTCTTCACTGTGTGAAGTTAACAGGAGCAACACAGAAGAAAGTAAGACTGAATAAGCCACAGACAGTACTTCCAGTAAATCTTATGTACTATCTGCTATTTCTACTCATAGTTTTGCAACTGATGGAACAGGTTCGATTTGTTATAATGGGAAATCTCTTTTGTACTGACTATGCAATTCACCGGCGGTTTGATTTGAAAGGCTCTTCGCATGGGCGTACAACAGATAAACCCGAGTCAGAAATTGACCCAACCACCACCCTCAAAGATTTAGACCTTAACTATATCTTCCGATTACAGAAGTTTTGGTTCCAAGAGTTCTGCAGGTGATTATAAATTTGTTTTCCTTTTCCTGAAACCAGAAACAGTTGATTAGTCAAGATTTTTGACTTGTAATGCTTCAATATGCCTAAAGAGAACTTAGTTTAAAAAGTTCCATGTATTATGATATTTCCTTTGTGTTTTCTTAATAACCTTTGAATAATATTGGATATTCCTTAATGCAGGCAAGTAGACAGGGACTGCGACTTCCTCGAGCAGGAGAGGATTATGGATTATAGTCTTTTAGTCGGTTTACACTTTCGAGATTCTTGTGCAAAAACTTCAGAAGGTGAAATTTTAAATATATCTAGAATCAGATCTTTGGCTTCTTCAGTTCTTTGCCATTAGGTTATTAAGAAGTTTTAAGTATGTGCTAAACTATTTTGATGCAGGAAAAGGAGAAAGTAATAGTGACCTGATAGCACCTCGGCTTTCGAAAGTAAACGAAACAGATAAACTAGTTTTTGATCCTAACCAGTTAAGATCTTATCCAATGTTGTATACAATAAATGCTTTAGATCTTGTTAATTGTTGAGAAATTTATTGATTTACTGCTTTATACTTGGTTTAAATTCAATTTGGTAATGGTGATTTTTTTTGCAGGTGGGCATCGATTAGATTAGGGATCAACATGCCAGCACGAGCAGAATTGACAATACGAAAATCAGAAGATGGTGAATTTCAGGTAGTAGAACCAACAGGAGAGTGCTATGATGTTATCATCTTCTTTGGAATAATTGACATTCTACAAGACTACGATATCAGCAAAAAGCTAGAGCATGCATATAAGGCTTTCCAATATGATTCCACTTCTATTTCTGCTGTTGATCCTAGGCAGTACTCAAAACGTTTCCGAGATTTCATTTACAAGGTATTTGCAGAAGATGGGTAATGGAGATCAACATTCATTCCACAAAATTTAGCTTTCAGCTCAGATGCTCGTTTTACAGCCAGGATTTTCATTGTATCAGAATTTAAGCAGGCGATTCTGGCCATCAGAGCAGGCAGCCGGGCAGCATTCGGCATGAACAACATTTTAGGACACATTCCCATGACAAATTGTTTTAGTGAAAAAAAGGTATAGATTAACCAAAAAAAAAAAAAAGGAAATATAGAAGCTGCTCCTCAAAGATTATTTTAACTGTAAATTACAACTCCTAAAACTCGAAAGATAAACAGATTGGTTAGGCTGATTCTTCTTACACCTCAAAATTTCATTTTATTTTTTCTTTTGGTTCCAGAAAAATGAAGAACTTGGGGGGTCAAAGTACTAGTTGGTAATTGTACAGAATTCATTGAGGTAAACTTTTTGGTAGTATAATTTATCTAACAGGAAAACGAAATTCTTACAGTTTTCTTTATGGTTATCTCTTGTATTTTGCGATTAGATATAATTAGGAGCACATTCTAAGTCGAATTTGCCATATGACTGCTAAGTCTTATCATAATGCTCTCCCAATACATGGAAAATGAATTCATGACAAAATCACGCATGCAATCAACCAAAACAGTTGAGAACAATACAAGGTGTTCAAAACACCTAAAACATCAAACCAACAAACACAACCTGAACCTATAAGTTTCACATAATCCTTCCCCACCTTCAAATCTAGGAATAATTAAAAGAAACATTATTTTTATTGTTTAATAATTCAACTATTACATTCTTATAAAAATACCTCAGGTTTACCTTTACCATTTTTTCTTCCAAGTATAAAAATTCTGACTGAAGATTTGTGTGACAGAATCATTGAAGTCAACCAAAACAACATACTAGTATACTACTCCGTAGTAATAAAAGTTTATATAAAAATATTGAGCCACTAAACAATATTGTAATAAAGTAAAGATGAATGGCCTGAAAAAGTTGAATCCTCGACAGAATTCTGATGGTGAACGATTGAGATCCACTTACAGAAAAGAAGGAAGAAAAGACGGAAAACAACTAGGCCAGTGATGTTTTCCATTTTCTTAAGAACGTAGTTGAAATTTCTTTAAGGGGGAAAGCGCGCACGTACTAGTAGTCATGAATATGAGAACAAAGCTTCCACAGATAAGCAAAAACTACCTCATATATAAAGTGAGTTTTTATATAAAACTGAAAGTCTGAAACCATAAAGCATGAGAAACAGTGGCATCGAAATACTAGTTCGTAGTTATCAATCTTTCAAGAGTTCCAAACCCTATACAAATGTCATGTAACTGGAAAATACTTTTGATGAAGGTACAAGTGTTATGTACATTTTATATGGGAGGTGGTGATATGATGGTATATACATAGCATGTGAAAAATGTGACATGAGAATAACAAACAGTTCCTACTTTATACAATTATCAACCTCCCACCCCGGTTAAACATAATCATACATTTACAAAGAAGCAGAATACTCTTAACAGCCAACAAAATGCGACAGATGAATCAGTCTAAATACATTCATCAAGACAAGCTCAGATTTACCTTCTATTGAGCTCCGGTTAGTGCAAATATTTTCTCATCTCCCATAGAAGTTGAAGCTCGTTGCCACTTTAAGATCGACAAATTCATTCACCAAGTATTTTGTAGTCTTGATTTCCAAGTGGCTGTCTGACATTAGCTATTCGATTGATCAGAGGAATAAAATCTGTATCAGATAAGCTACCATGGCTCAGAATTGTTACGAAAGAAACTTGCTGAGGGTCTCTTCCACCCTTCTTCCATCATAATAAGGTTAAGTCGAACAATGAGTTTTTCAACAGCATCATCTTCAGCTGGGTTCAGTGAACCTGATTTTTGCTGCATGATGGAAGAATCACATGTTTACTATTTTTTTTTTTTTTTTTTTTTTGACAGCAGAACTAATTATTATTGCATGGAGAAAGATACATTGGTTAAATTTTTGAAAACACATATTGGGTGAAATAGTACCTTTACTTCATTGTAGAACTTCAGGTACTGCAATGCCTCCTCATAGTAGCTACAGTGGTACAGAAGAACAGCATAATCTCTCAACTCCTCAGCATTGGCTTCTAAGAGAATTAGACGTTCACACGCTGAAAGCCCCAAGCAGGGGGGAGGGGTGTTAGTTGCATTATGCATCAATTATCATGAATTAAAAAAGAATTATTGAATCAAAACAAAAGCACAATACTTGCAATCTATAACCAGTGAGGATAGAAATATATTTTGTCAGTGTGCACTATATATTTGTATCATTATGCCTTCATATTCCAAGTCCTTGAGTATATATTTTAAAGTTATGATCATGAACTTTTCACCACTTTATTGTCAGATTCCATAGAGTTTATGGCAAGTTGGCAAATCATGTTTTAAACATTGAACATATACTTCAAAACAAGAATATGTTGCATCTGATAGTTTCTTTTTACTAAATGCCATTGAATTGGCAATATTTCACATCAATTATAAGAAGAAACTCAAAAAGTTTGACAAGGGTCACATTACTCAAAGTCTAAAACCAGCAAGGGCCAAAAGATGAAACAATAATTAAGGTGAAGTAAGAACTTAGAAGAGTGGAAATTAGAGTAGTAAATTTGTAAGGGAAGTGAGGACTAGGGAAGCCGTGGGTATTGAGTGAGGTGTGAGGGAAAAGAAGGACGAATATGCCAGTAAAGGGTGGTAGGCAAATAATGTTGAAGATCAGTGGTCGCTGTGGCTAAGATAAGGTCAATGGTGGCGGTGGGTTATCCAAGATCTTTGACATAAGTTAAACCAAAGTTTCGTCAGAACCTCAAAAGTCAAGACAACGAACTCATTAAATCAAAATTGGGGGTTGAACACTGAGTGTAAATGAGTTAAACATTTATAAAACATTCTAATGGCTTCTATGTGCATGGCATACCAGATAATGCACGCCTCATGTCCCCAAAAAGCACACTAGTCCAAACTCCACGATCTAGCCTATGTTGGGCAGCCTTTGCAGATGCATGTTCAAAGCCACTGAAATTAGCAAACAAAAATTTCATTAACTCAGACTCAAATAGACATCACAGCAGGAGAAGTTTATAATTGACAGTTAGCCTCAACCTGTTAACGCAATTAGCTGCAATTGCTGCCCTTAGAAACAAACTCTCTGTTTGATTCTGCTGAAATGGCCAATAAGTATTCTTCAAATCTCTCAAGATCTGCAACAAGCACAACAAATATGCTAACTAAGCAGTTCCACAGATCTCTAGACAAAGTTCAATTACTTGCAATATATTATTCTTTATCCTACTGATCATTCCTCAATGTCAACACAAGGAAACAAATCAAACAAAGAATCAAGAACCAGATCCAACTAAAATGAAGCACAACACTACTAATCTAACTCTCAAGTCACCAATCTCCTATTATTCTCCTCTAAGTCCATCAATGATTCACTCATTATTCCACCTTACATATTTCTTATAATTTCTCCTTTCTAACCAAAATGAGTGTCGCATAAAAATTTGGCACATGTATTAGGAGATCTACGCGAACGAGAAGATATATACTTCCTCCGTTCTATTAATATTGCAACAATGGACTTTTTGCACTATTCATCACTCTTGTTTGACCATTTAATATGATTTATACATTAAGCAAAATATAGTCATGTGGGATCTTGTTGGATTCGTCTCATAAAATATTTTCACGATATCAACTTTTTATAATTTTTACGCTTACACAATTATAGATATTTAGCATATAAAATGTGCTTTGGGATGCGTAATTTCCTCCTTGTTGCAATATTAATAGAACGGAGGAAGTATATATATATATATATATATATATATATATATATGAGATAAGAAGTCCAAGTGATGAGTACAAACTACAGAGAGTTTTTTTTTTTTAAAAAAAAAAAAACAACCTAATAAAATATGTTTCATCAATTCCCAAACCCAAATAGATAGTGTTTCACTCTTTCAAGAACTATATAGCTTTATCATTCATATAACTGCCAGCAAAAATCTTTATCAAACAATTGGCCGATTCTTCTCCAAACTGCCATATACTATTTCCACTCAAGAATATTTTCTAAACTTTTCTCTTTAACTCTCAACTTCTCTATTTCTTTTCTGAATTACTTTGCAGTTCTCAGTCACTTAGTGATGATTGGATTGGAAGTAATAAATTAGGGGGGTAATAGGAGGCAAAATAGAAAAGAGGAAGAATGGTGAAGGACTGAAGGTGGTGATTTGCAGGTATAGTAATGATGAGTATCCCCAAAATTCAGTACCTACCTAATATATTGTCTCATCTACAATCACCTGTACCCTTCTCCATTCTCTTCATTTTGTGTTCTGTTATTATTTCAGTACCTCCAATCCAAAAGCTTTCCCTAGGAGGAGCTTAACTGAAGATACAGAACACCTTTGACTTTACTTGTCCATATCATATGCATAACTGCTCAAGAAACTGTATTGACTCTAACAACACGTAATCATTACAATCCCTCCATCCCAAGATATAGTGCCTATTATATTTTGCATGGTCTTCAAGATGCAACTTTGACCATCAATATCTTTAATTACAAATTAACAAAATTATAAAAATTTGAAATTGTAAAGCTACACATTGAGACGAATTTATCAATATCTCACATGCCTATATTTTTTTGTATACATTAACGAGAATTTTTGGTCAATAATTTAAAACTTTGACCATGATAATAGAAATGAGCAGTTGAGCACTATATAATGGGATGGAGGGAGTATAAGTTAGCATGCAATTGACCTATGCTACTACAAAATGCTTGGCTGAGCAGCACATCTGTAAATGTGCCAACATTATACTCAAAAGAGACAACCAGGTATAATTGCTAGTTGCTAACCACAGATCACACAAGCTGTATTTTTAGCAACAAGAAGGATCAGAACTCAAAAATGTGATACCAACAAAGCTTACCTCCACCAACAAGGATTCTGATGTCATTATGTGTTTTTGATCGGATTCTTTGCCTTTCTTCTTATTATAGGCTCTAGGGAGACTTGACAAATCATGTGGGTGATATATTTCAACATCAAAATCTATTACACCCCAAAGTTGGAGCATTTTGAGGACCTCTGAATAAATCAGAGATAGGATAGCAACAGATCCACAACGCTGTGCTAGAACCTGTTTGCAAGTTAGCAACAAGACATTCAGAAGCTCACCTTAAAAGTAATGTGAAGGACTTAAAATATAAAAAATTTATAAAAAGTCATCATGCCATACCGAGTGAAGATAATAGTCTTTTGTTGAAGGGTTAGAACCTGCAGTGGTTCTCCGAAAACCCTATCAAGAAACCTCAAGTTAGTATGGTAAAAAAATTTAACAACAGCAGCAAGTATTATTTTTTTAAAAAGAACTTCTGATTAAACTACAGTGCATGACTAATAAAAGTTGGACAAACTAATCTGGCTATATACATCTACCACAATCACCACATAGTGTGGGTCCTATGACTTATATCTCTTGCAATGTCTAGGGATGCCACCACAGATGCCACTATACCAGTAACCATCAGCACTAGCAAAGAGACTACTTTTGAGGAACACACATCATCACAATTGATGCGATAAATCACTATGTTTTATCATGCATTAACACATTCTATATCCGTCCACACTTAGGTATTGTTGATAATTAAGATATGTCCAATGATTCTAAATGATCTGAATGTCAATGCAGAAATATACCTTTGTGATGTACAGGTACCTCTCTAAACTATCCAAGAGATCCTCTGGTGATGAAGATAGCGAAGAATGATAATGAGGACAATAGCTTGTAGAAAGGTTATCCAATCTCTCCACAAAAGCATCAACTGGAAGAGGTACAGATGAGTGAGACATGAGGGAGTCATCTTCTGCAGCAATATATAGAGCTGTTTTACCCAGGTCAACACATCTATTAATACATATGCTAGTTTCTCTCTCAATCTCAGACAAATTCCGAATCTGTGAATTAAAGCCATCCCTTGCAACCTGCTCAAACACAATGCACCAATCAAGAGAAATTTCATGTGGAACAAATCAGTAAGAAAATTACCATAATAGAATACTACATTGAAAATCACACACGAGCTACTCAACACAAAATGCTTGTTGGCAAAGTATAATAAAATTTTGAAATAAGAATTATAGGAACTTCTTACAGATCTAAGAATTTCTGCATTCATAAATAGATTTGGCACTCCTTAATAAATACAACTTCCAAATAAACTGCACATGCCTAGAATGAAATGAACACTTAGTCACTTAGGACACCTAACAAAACTGAAAATAATCAAGTAATGTATGAAACATCTTTCGGCATGATTCAATTTTTGAAATTTCTACCCACCTATTGCATAGTATAATCACTGCACACATTGATGAGAGAAAAGAAATTTAAAAAGAAGTTGTGTCCCATATTTAAAGAACATATCATGCCTATGTTGATTGTGTTAATGCTTAAGAAATTTGTCCATACTTCATATGGTATTAATACTCGAACTTGTTTCCGTTTCCATTTCCATCCAACCTGACTCAACAAAGCCACAAGATCACATCCTAAGTCAATTGAATGCTCCCATATATCCACCTATCCGACTATTAAAGCTGGCTAATGTAACACTTTTAGCGGCCCGCAACTTATACAGTATAACAATCCTGACTAACAACTAGAGTTCAACATTCAAAAATCAACAAACCAGAAATATAAATCAACACAAACAAAATTAAAATGAAAATTTAATCAAATGACCCTATTTTCATAACAAAGAACATAATTGCGATCATACAAACATTCCATTAATTAATCACATGATCATATCACTTGTTCATATGATTAATCGTTAATTAATAATATCTCTAATAATCAATCATCAAAAAAACCAAATTCATCCAAAAATTTCACCAATTTTCAATCCAAAAAAAAAATATCTACAAATCAAAATGAAATTTACGAATTAATTTCCAAGAGAAATACCTGAGCATGAGAGATGTCAGTTCCAGAAGAATGAAGAGCATTGTGAAGGACGAATTTGAGGTCTTTTGCAGAGAATTGAGAGCGGCAGAATAATCGAAAAACTGAAGATGATGAAGAAGAAGAGTGAAGTCGAGGGAGTCTCGGAGGAGAGAGAGTGAAGGTTCCAGAAATCCATGGAGAAGAAGTACAATCCATGGCTGGCGCTGCTACTATGTAAAAGGTCAGCGAATGTTGAAGCTAATTACGGTTGCACATCATAGTGGATTCAGTGATTTCATAGATAGATTTTTTTTTTTTTCTTTCATCGGTTAGGATCCGTTTAGTTCAGCTTAATTTCAGATATGTTCAGCTAAGCTCTGATCACTTCATTTCATTTCAGTTTTTAATTTCCTTCTCTCAAAAACAATTCAGTTCAGCCCTAATCAGTTCAATTCAGCCCTAATCAATTTAGTTGTTTTCAGTATATTGGAACAGGCCATTAGTCATGATTTTCTAAATATTTTTTTGGGCTATTTCACCAAATGCCACTGAGCACTTTAAAAATTCATCAAATGTCATCGGACTTTTCAGAATTCACCAAATGCCACTGAGTTTTTAAAACATTCACCGAGTGCCATTAATGACTAACGAAAGTTAACTCTGTTAGTCATTAAGGCTAATTATGCCACGTGGTGTATTCTAAATGGTTCACTTTATTATTATTATTTTATTTATCAAAAAAAATTAAATTCAGAAGTTTTCAAAAAAAAAAAAAAAAAAACCAGCCACTCTTCCCACCGCACCACGGTACCACCGCCCCTACGCCAGCCCAACCCCTTGCCCCCACCCCTACCGGCGACCAACATCCTCTTTGATGTCGGCGGCCACCCTTCCCCCTACCCCTACCATCTCCATCCACTCCCCCCCCCCTTAAACCACCATCCTCGACACCCTAAAACCCCAAAATTGAAATCTCCAAAATCGAAACCCTAAATTTCGATTTTAAGGTTTTCGATTTTGGGGTTTAAGCGAGGTGGTTCAGGGGTTGGAGATGGGAGGAGGAGGGGTGGTTTTGGTTTGCCGGAGCGGGGAGGGATCATTGGACGCCTACGGTGGGGAGTGGAGGGGGCTTCGAATTTGGGATTTAAGGTGTCGAAACCCTAGATTTCGATTTTTGGGGATTTTAATTTAGGGTTTCGGTGCGGTGGTTGAAAGGGTGGAGCTCGGAGGGAATGAACTTATTTGAGTTCTCCGGCGTGGGGAGGGGGGTTTGGTTGTTAGCGGTGGGGAGGGGAGGGATTTTCGAGAGAGAAATAGAGTTTGCGAATCGCGGGAATGGTGGCTTGGTTGCGTCGTCGGTGCGGGCTGGATAACCTGGGTCGCCGGCGCGATTCTTCAGGGATGGTCGCCGTTGCGGTGGGGACTGGCTGGAGGCGGGGATATGGTGGTGGCAGTGACAGACGGTGGTTGGGGCTGGGTCATGGTGGGTGGTTTTTTTTTTTTAAGTCTTTTATTAAGTAATTAATTTACTAATTTAATAAGCAACCAATCATAAGCCACCACGTGGCATAATTAGCCTTAATGACTAACGGAGTTAACTGCCGTTAGTCATTAATGGCACTCGGTGAATTTTTTAAAAACTCGGTGGCATTTGGTGAATTCTGAAAGTCCGATGGCATTTGGTGAATTTTTAAAGTGTTCAGTGGCATTTGGTGAAATAGCCGTATTTTTTTCGCTTTTTGGGACATATATTGAAGAAAGAAGGAATAATGTATTAGCTCTAAGCCACTTGATTTGTCTTTTTTGGTGTAGACGGTAAACTAAAGAACAACGATGTAGATGAATTTAATCTTATGTTTTGAGTATCCTCTTTTAAAACTTTAACCAAGTAAACTAATTGATTAGTTCCAACATTTATACTCGTATATATAAGAAGTATGTACCAACTATGTCTTTGCCTAATGGTTAAAACTAAGGGTGTATCAGTGTATGTACAATATCACAAGTTCAAATTACCCAACATTAAGACACCTACTTGTTATAATTTATAGGAAAAATACACTTTTATAATCTTAACTATGGGCGATCTACTTTTGATAATCCCAACAAAGGTTTATTATCTAATAATCCTAACAATTGGGGGTATTTGCCATTCAATAGTCCCAACTGGTCAACACTAAGTCAATAACATGTTATAACAGATTACCATGACACATGTTAACACGTGATTTGTCCAAATTTTAAAAAAAAATAAAACATAAAAACAAAAAAAAAATAATCCCAACCACCCTTTACCTTTGTGAAACCCTAACCTCGCGGACTGGTCGGCCACCGCCATTTGGCCACCAAAACCAACCGGTCGGTGAATCCCGACCCCCCAAACCACCATCTTAGCCAACGTCGACCCCCAACACCACCAGCCCAGCGAACAAATGGAAAGAACAAAGCAAATAAAAAAACCAAAAGAAAGATATTTATTGTAATTTTTTATACACATGATGATGAATTTGAATGCTTGAATTGCATTATGGTTTTATGAGTGATCATAAGTTCAATTTCTATGCTGATACGAAATAACCCCTTAAAAAACACCACTAGTAGTTTGTCGATCATCAACTCACATATCCCTATCCCTACTTTATAAAAAGTAGAAAATAACTCTTAGGAATAGTGTGCTACCAAATATACCCTTAAAAATATGTATAAAATTGTGTACAAAAATGTATATTTACTTTTTTTACCCTCATTTATATGTTTACTCTCATTAATATATTTAATTAGGTTTTTTTTTTCATTAAACATACCATCAATTAATACAAAGTTTTTTTTAACAAAAACTTGTAATGCCTTTTTTTAAATAAAAAAATTATAATGTTTTGTACTTCATATGTTATTATTGTTATTTAAAAAGGAAAAAAAAATTGTATGTACGAAGACTTTGTTTATTACCACGAGATGATTTATTTTTACACCTTCGTGGTTGCTCTTCTTATTTACAATTTTGTTGTCCTTTAATTATTACAAATATTGTTATTGTTTATTAGCTTTTTAATTGTACATTATTTGATGGTACGCACGTAAACAACGTGGAATTTAAATGACATTCATATTAAATAATGATATTTGAGCAGATGTTATCAAGAGGTATAAATAACTTTAAATTCCTAAAATCGAAGGAAATCGATGATAGAAAAAAAAATGTATTAAATATGGAGAGAATTTAAGAGGAAAAATATAACTAAGTGGTTATTGCTTTATTATTAGATATAGATATTAGATGGTCGTAGAAAATTGAACTTACATTATTAAGTTTTTAGCTACAACGAACATTTCACATATTATTACTCCGTATGACCAAGCCCACAAAAAATTCGTTTGAAGAAAAATACGTTAAGTATTATTGAATCATGCAAATCAATTAAGAGTTCTAAACTAGATTAAGATATGAAGGGATGCAAATCAATTAAATATTATTTAATAATAATTTTGAAATAACACTGTCAAACTTTTGAGGGTTTTAAAAATAATTATCATTTAAGACTTTGGTGGCTTTTTTATATTTCTACAAAACCACTATATAGGCACATAACCAAATAGTACGTATTGAAACTACCAGATCTACCACCCAAACCAAAGGTGTAACTACTTGCTAATACAACTTCTATGCAAGAGCTAACTTTTTCGCGCGCATCGCGCGCGTAGGATACCCTAGTTAAAGAAAAAAGGTCGAAAATAGTTTAATTTCCAAATAATGAAATTGGATTATTTCCGCCCTTAACACAACCAAAAATTTAAACCCTAAAAGAAAAAGGAGAGAAAAGAGAGTAATTTTAATCTATCTAAAATAAAAAAATAATTAAATTTAACATAAAATATTACTATAAATGTTACTATTATACTAATCAAAACTAAAATATTCAATCAATAAAATATTTCGATTAGTTTCTATAATATCGATAATTTTTTTAAAAAAAATACGAAGTATCAACTCATTTTTGTATTTCAATATTCAAGTTGAGTCTCATCAATGGAGATTGGAGATGGTCTAAGAGTAAAGCATAAATATGGTCCTTGAACTTTTATATTTGTGCACTTTTAGTCCCTTAACTTTCATTTGTGCACTTTTGATCCCTCAACCACCACTCTTGGTATGAGTGGTGGTTTGACCAAAAAGTTAGGGAACTTAGGCCCCGTTCTTTAGAGCTGCTTTGCTCTACCCTGCCCTTCTCTACTTAAAAATAATAATTAATATTGATTTATTATAATAATGGTTAATATTTAATAATAACAATAATAATAATAAAGAAATAATTAATATTTAATAATAATAATAATTAATATTTAATAATAATAATCATATAAATGATAATAATAATGATAATAATAATAATCGTAATTAATAATAATAATAATTGGATTTTTATAATAAAAATTAATATTTAAAGATAATAACTAATATTAAAAGATAATGATAATTAATACGAAGTAATAATAATATTTAATAATAAAAATAATAAATATTTAGTAATAATAATAATAAATATTTAATAATAATATTTAATGATTATAATATAATGCAATAATAATAATAATGATAATAATAATCCAAATAATATTAATAAAAAAATATTTATAATTAAAAAATTATAATAATAATGAGGTAATAATAATAATAATAATAATAATAGTAATAATAATGAAATATGCTCTACTGCAATCTGCTCTTCTATGTTGACTCTTTCTTTGCACATAAGCTCAAAAGAACCGGGCCTTACCTAGTCAACAAAAGTTTAGGGACTAATAGTCATTAATTAATTTATTTTATTTTTTGTAATTTTGTCTACAATTACAAAATTCCTCCGTTAAAAAAAATTAATAAATAAATTCCAGAATCATCTTTCCCTCGCGTCACTCTAATCTAGTGGCGGCTCCATTATGGGTTCAGCTAAATCCATACTAAATTTGGGAGAAATTCATAATTCAGAAATACTGAGTTGAATAAAAAATAAAAAAAATAAAAAAGCTCCTTGAAGCATTATGCCTATCCATTCAGCGGTCAAGCATATCACATGCAAGACTTCACTTAGGATCAAATCCCTTACCAAACCATTTTGTTTATTTTTGTTAAAGTATTTTCAGTGCACGTTTTGTTTAGTATTGTTTTAATTTACTTCTATTTTAAACCTCTTTTATTTTCCCCCCACAATCATACTTTTTGTTTATCTGTTTTTTTTTTACAGGAAAAAAAATAGATAAACAAAAAGTATGATTGTGGGAAAAAATGCACAATAAAAGAGGTTTTATAAATCTTTTTTTTTTTCACATTTAACAAAAAAAAAAACCTGTTAATTTCTAGAATATTTTTTGTGGCTTCATTGATTTTTATTAATGTGTATTATTTTTTTTTCCTTTTCAATAAAATCAAACCATCTATCTATAAATATGACTAAAGTAATAACCGTTGACATCATATTGTCCATGTGGC